AAAAGTTATTAGAGATTATGGATAATAAGCTGAGATGCAATTGTAACATTTCATTGGTGTTATTATTTATTCCATAGTGCTGCTGTCAGTGATGTTGTTGCAGAGCTCGTTCCCAGGACCTGTTCGTGTTGTATTTGTGCTCAAACCAGAAAGTGTGCTGCAAAGAGCTCTCGAAGTGGGATATCGTGGAATTGCTGAGAATTGCAAATTTAAGGTATGCTTCTTAGTTTTACTTTTCTACGAGCTAATATTCGCGGAAGATAATGAAGGAAATATGAAATAAGGAAGGAAGAAAATGAACCATTTGTCAGCTATGCCATTTGAAAGCGTTCTGAATCCGATTCAATGGTAAACCAGTAACCGTTTCAAATAAATAAAAAAGTATTAACTATATTCGTTTTGAGTGTGTTGCTCCTCTTACCGATAATTACTGGACATTGCGCATTAATGAGTAATACTCTCGAGGAAGATTTCCCATGCAACTGCCGAAGAAATGGTGTACATACGCAGAAACGGGCGTTAGATACTAGCTGAGAATGCGCAGCTCAAGACCGAAAGACCTGACATAGCTGTATCCGACGTAGGAGCATTCCACATCGGCTGTCGAAGCGATCTATGTTTACTGAGCTGACGCAAAATTACAAGCGTTTTTTGAAGAGTAGGTGAAGCTTGGAACAAATTTGGAGGTATTAAAATTACTTTGATCAACTGTAGTTGTTTCATAGTCGCGTTTCTTCTTGCCATTAATGCAGTTGGGAGCTTCTCTATTCTTTGTAAAAAATCGTATCTAATAACCTAGTATAGCCCGTAAGGGATATGAATAGCTGCACTTTAAACTGCCTGCAAATGTCCTAATTTACTGAGAACATTCAGGTTATTCAGGATGACATCTAATTATGCATGCTAATCCTCGCTTTTTGGTCTCTGATTTCTCTTCTTTTCCTTCTCCGCCTTGCCCTCTTCCGTAAGAAATTCCGAGATGATCCGCTTGCCCACTGATCGAAGTTGGCTTTTCTATAAACAATATGACTTAAGGAAATAGCAGGCGTAGTTTTACGACTTACAGGCCTAAATTTACGAAATACTGCGATTGTTAGAATACATTGCCATCATTTAGGTCACAATTTTGGAGGCAATTATTGAGGAATTGGGGAAGGGCAGGAAGGGGATAGGCGGGGGTGAGGGGATGGGAGGAGGAATTATTCGCGAGAATACATTTTGTCAATAAAATAGGGAACTATGTTACGTTTTCAAATTCTTAATATTGCTCCTTCACTGGCATCCTTTGCATTTCCGTGAAAAGCAAACTTCGAGGGCTAATATATATTTAAAACTTAGCACTCAATTCTGGATTGTTTACTAGGTTTGAGGCCAAATATAACGGCTGTTCAAGGTGTGTTTGAGAATATTAAAGATTGAAACATGTAGACAAAGAAATAATAGTTTAAAGATTAAAATGTAAATGTTAGCTGCCTACGAGCTTTCGCTCTTTAACTTTTGTTAGAAGCCACTTTTTTGCCTGTCATTGCTACCTGTACCACTTGAAGTAAAAATGAAGGGCCTTTGTAACTTTCCTTGCTGGATATACTATTTTGCATTGGAGAGAAACTTGTTGGACTAGATTTTTGAGTTTTGTATATTGGTTTTTTTTGATCGAAAAATTATCGCCCAGTGCGCTTCGCTTTCTAGGATTGCTGGCACCGAAATGTTTTAAATACCTCATTCTTATAAGCGAGAGTATTGGGATTGCCTTTTTGTGCATTTTTGCCGCTACAGCAAGCAAAAACGCATAATGTCGGGAGGTCATCTGTGTGTGTGTGTGTGTGTTCGGAAGCGAATGAACTTTGTCACCCACTTTCATCTCAGTAATCAGGAAAGCTGAGCGGCTGAAATTTTGGGAATATGTTCCTACCCAGTGTGTCATCCTCCCGTTTTAAAATTTTTGCGCATACGCATCTAGACCCCGCACACGGACCGTGAAAAAATATGTAAATTTCTTTGGCGAGAAGCGATTTCGCGAACCAGGCGAGTTACAAGACT